GTCCTAACATCCCTTGGCAAAATGCACCAACGTGAAGTAAAGTGAAGTGAGGCAAAGGGCATCTTCTCGCATGATGGCCTCCACCTCGGCCTCAGCTGCCTCGGCCGCCTGAGACACATGGCCATGAGTCGGCCAAAACCACGAACCCCAGTGAACATCCCAACCCAACCGCTAAAGTAGATTCTAACATGGATGGTGCACCGGACCCCCAAAATGTTTGATCCCATTCTTTCTGAACCATACCCAGATCCAGCTGTTTAGCCGCGCAATCTTCAGCCCTCCCCGAGCCTCTGTGGCATTCACCGCTTCGGCCACGACCTCCGCGACCCGAGTGACGTCATCAGGTCCTTCCTGGCAACAGTTGCACAGTCTCAATCACGAGCTGCTCTATCTTGTCAAAATCCCCCGTTTTTTTGGTGGGCTTAAAGGGAAACCACAGGAAAACCACCGCTTTGGGTCTCCGAAACAAAGACACACCCAAATTCCAATCTACACCCGGAGCTGCACCTCAACGTTGAGGACTGGCGGTATGGGCGTAACGACTCCTCACGAAAGCATCCGCACGGTTGAACTCTGCAGCAGGTGGCTCGTCTATTTTTGGGGAGCCTCCCTTCAAAACCACAAAAACAAGTGGGGTACTTTAAACATGAGACACCCCCAACGGCTTCTTTATAGGGTACCTGTGGGCTTAGAGTCCAAAGCGCGTCAGATCAAACATCCTCCTACATGGGTGTGTCTTTTTCAGGGGATCCCCGAAATGGCAACTCATTTGCCTCTTGGTTTCCCTTTGCAACCACTAAAGTCCAAACAAAACGACAGGCAGTCACTCAACATCTTCAACGGCTCCGTGGCCTTCAGCATCAGCAACATCCTCGCGGATTCAGCGCCCTTCTGAGGTTATGGCGAGTGTCAAATGGCCTCAACGTCCACTGGCGCTTGCAAGGATGCACCTCACTTGAGCGCGCGAACGATACACCTCACTCGAGCTACACGATCTTGGACTCTGCAAATTTCGTTGTGCATATGGGTGTGGGTCAAAAATAGGTGCCTAAAATGGAACACTGGGAAATGGAAGCAAGGACGAAAACCTGCGGTCCTTTGTTGGTTCAATTTTTGATCGGGACTCACAATGTCACGGTGTCAGCTTTGCTCCGAACGCATGCCACTGCCGCCTTCATCGTGGTGCGAATCCTGCACGCAAAGAAATTCACACCTCTGGAAGTCTGCGCGAGCACAGGGCTGCCACAAGAGCCCGGTGAGAAAGATGCAGGGAATATCACGGCTCCCTGTCCACTAAACATATATCGAGCTCAAATCAGCAGCTGCGAGAGTAAGTGATCTATCAACTGTCTCTCCTCGACATCCAGGAGCAGCCCTCCTTTGTGGCGGAACTTGCAAATGGCAAGGGCAACTTTTTGAAAACCAGTGAATGAAATAGTCCTGTGGGCTCCGTCGCTTCAGCATGCTCCTGCACTTGCACATCAACGATTATGAAGATGAAGCTCCAAGCCGAATATTGCGCGATACGCTTTTCCGAGAGGCAACATGAGTGAAAAGCGATCGTGTGAGACAAATGGCAATGACTCGTACTCAGATCTTCCATCACGAGCGTGGCCTTGCGAGAGAATGCACGTCCTTTTTCTTGCAGCACTGACGCTCCAGGCCTGAGCCACACCCAATGAGTGTCATCATTCCCCCAGTATGTGATCCAAGGGTTCCTCAGCTGCAAGATCGAAGACCCACGCCATGTTGCCAAGCCAGCCTGCCATGTCCGGCGCCACATGGATCCATCAAAGGAACTGTGTACCCGCTTTTCTGCACCTCAATGATGCCGCAGGAAATCCAAACGCTGCACAAAATGCTTGTCGGAGGTGTGAAATATATATATATATATATAATATAATATGTATACATAGATATATCTACTGTACATGCTATGACTAATTCTCGCTCCGGATTAATCCGGAGGACTCCAGGACTGTTCAGATTAGCGGTATTTCCCGTTTCAGTACGTGGCTGTGCTGGCCGACACCCGCAAAGCTTTATGAAGGCGCTGAAAACCTGTGGGCTGCTTGTGTGCAGTGCTGCGAGGGTGCTTGCCCAGCCCAGGAGCCGAAGCACATGTTGTGTTGCAGTCGGGCCGCGCACGTTTTTACCTTGTAATTTTCTCCCCAACCCCCCTGCCCCCTCCCAACCCCCCCCCCCCAAACAAAAAAAAAAAACACGGACCCGAATCACGCTTTGTGCTGGGGGACCTCACCACGGTGCCCTGGGGTCCGGGGTCCTCCGGATTAATCCGAACCTAAGGTTCTTGCGGCCAGGGCACTGGTTGGACTGCCATTTGACAGAGCCGCGCCAAAGCGAGCACAACCAGCTCATCTCCTTCGTCGTCTCCGCGCAACTTGCTGACCCACCTGCATATGATTGCGCGAGCATGCGAGTCGCATGGGCACCCCGAAAATGTTTGTTTCTTTTTGGCTTCATGCTCAAAACCGACCCAAGCCCAACCAGGGTACCCTCAGCAAAAATCACACACACCCAAAGGGGAGTCATCCCAGCAAAAACATCACGGACAGCACATGTCACCACAACGGTATCTGAGTCTTGGGTCCCAGACTGCTCCACTCTTTAAGGCAATCAATCTGACCACGGGCTGCCTCTCGTAAGCATCTCGGCCATCAGACGAAGTGCTATGTACCTCACGTTGATGCTGGGGGCATGACTACACTCCAGTCAAGGGCACTGGATGGAAAAACGGCACGTAGTAGTCCTGCACATGAGCCCCTGACAAAAATCCTTGGCTCCCCAAAAGGACATGGGAAACTTGGAGTGTCCCCAAATGTCCTTGGGGTGTCCCCCAATGTCCTCCCCAAGTGACAAATAATGCTGTTCGTTGCCCCCAAAACAGAAGGCATTTGGCTGTGGGCCAAAACCAATGGTAGGTGCACCACCCATTTTAGTCTATTTTGGTGGGGATTGGGATGTTCACTCGAGGCACAGGATTTTGACCCATGGCTATTTCGCTCTCAAAGCCCACGCTCCTTCTCTGCGACCAGCACCTCGCAGGCCGCGTGGCGCAACATATCCGCCATGCGACCTCAGATTTGGACGCCGAATGAGCCACACAGCTGTTATTACTCGCCTTTTTTTGAGGCAACCGTCCTGAAAACCGGCTTGCCAGGTGACTTTCATGGGAAACCCCAAAATGGGGGTGGCTCAAACATAGGGGCCCAACATAGAAGCCTACTAAATGGAAAAGTGGACTCCAAAGCTGCGGTCCCCTGGAAACCTCCCTAAAAACTTGAGCCACACCCACATTTTCACGGTTGTTTCCTTTTGTTGCTGGTGAGTAGGGAATGACCTTCAGGGTGTTGGGAATGAACCCAGTGATATAGGCCGCACTCCCTCAGGGACTTTGCTGGAATTCCAGCAACCCCGGGCCCCATCCGCCAAGAAACCCAAGGAGCTGCTCCTGTTGTGCAAGTGCTCCTCAATGAGGTCGGCCACTGGAATGGTCTGGCCCATGACTTCGACTTTTGTCGCATGTACAGAGTGCCTCCCCTGGGTTTCCACTCGGTTCTAACTTAACTAACCTTCTAATCCACAAGGGGCATCCTACAACATGACACCATGGAGAAGTTTAAGGAGAACCAAAGCTCGCATTGCAGCGGAGCCGCGGCTTTTTTGGCAATCGCCCCCGCGTGAACACTGGCGCTGTGGACCCTGAGAACAGCTCCGAGGTGAGAGCATTGATGCATATCAGCCAGAATTCGGTGAATGCACCGGCTGGCGTCACAGTGCATGGAACGCTTTCCCCCTGGACAGCTTCAAAACATCTTCGGATTCAATCTGAGACATTGCCAAAGCAAATGGTGTACAGGAACAGAACATAACTGCACAATCGAACAGTCCAAAGGCTCATAGCCCTGAATTTGGTGCTCGGACTTGCTGAATTCATCGTGCCGCACCATGGGACGAGCGCGCAACCGGCCGTGAGGTTTCAGCTCTAACGGTTGGGTCATTCTGCTCCTTGACGTCAGCGCTTGTTGGGCAACCTGGCAAAAATCAACACTATAAAGTCCTTCCACGGCATAGCCGAGCCGCTCTACTCGCCAACGCAAGTGCATGTCTCTGTGAAGCATGGAAAGCGTTTACAGGCCAGCAGCACGATGCTGCAGGTTCCGGCTTGGCAGCAAGCGCAACAGTGTCCTGACTTGATGGCAATAGCACAGAATTGGGCACTCCCATTGCAGGGTCAAGTCTGAGTTGCCAACCTTCGGGTAGACCTGTCACGACATGGCTTTGGCCCTACCTGGTTGACCCGTCCAGCCTTGTCGCACTGCGATACACACTCGGTCGGGTCGGCAATGTCCTGGAATTCCTTTCCCAGGGATTTCATGCCTCGGGACCCCCCGTCGCCTCACTGAGAATCTGGCAAGCCCTGAGACCAGCACCAAATCGCTGGCACGCGACCTGTCACACTCCAAAGCGCCAAGTGCACGTTGGACATGTATGATGCGTGCAGTGCCAAACAGCCTTGCAGCGATGATTGTCAACATGTGGTTTGACCTCGTGCACAATGCGTCCCAATCTCTGCAGAGTCGATTGCTCAGTTGCTCAGGCGGCAACCGTGACAGCGTGCCCCAGGCTGCAAGCGCCCAGGAAAGCCAAGACAAAGCTCCACCGCGCCTTGGTTGCATTCAAACCACCAGGGTGTGGCTCCAAATTGAACAGGAGGGGTTAATTACGCAGGTTTTGGTTCATTTTTCCACTTACCAGGGTTCCATTTTGGTACCGGTATTTTGAGCCACAGCCACCAAGCCCCACTGACTGCGCTGAATTGCACCGGACAGTGTGGAAATGCCTGAGCAAAGGGCCATGGCGGTGGCCGCGCTTCAGTATTCGCGGGGTTTGAGCTGAGGTCACGATGATTTGGCTTAGCACCAAAGTGCGATCTGCAATCGATGCTCAACGCAACTGGCTCCACCACGCAGCATTTTGCATCATCACAGGTCAAGCATGTAATTCAAATGTCACATGCAGAAGACTGCAGAAATTCTCTGCAGAGGAGAATGAGTGCCCACCTACATGATGTTGGCAAGGAACCTGAAACCCGCTATCTACACCTGCCTGCGTTCTGTACAGCACAACTTTGCAGGAATTGTCTGTCCGTCTAAGGATAATTCCTGATGTGACTCGACAGTGAGCAGTGACAATGTTTGCTTGTCATCCGCTCAAGCAGACTTTCTCTTCCAGCCAATGTGCGTCATGTCCAGCATAGGTTCCGCCACATCTAGCTCCATCATCAGGCGAGCAACACCTCGTTGAGAAAGGATCATGAGTCTGAGCTCAAACACAATCAATGCAGTGCTTGGCCTAAGTAGCATACCCAGAAATGTGACCACCACGAACATCTGAATCAGTGCAACCTGGCCAGGATCGTCACCAACAAACTCTGCAAGCCTTCAAGAAACACTCAAACAGCAGCAGAAGCATGAGATATGCGAGGTTCCCTGCTAGTTCACATGTTCAAAGTGCGCGCAGTCTGCAAAAAGAAAAGCTTGACACCCTCATGAGCTCTAGCATACCTGCTAATTGAACCTAAGATGGCATTTTCCAACCTAGCTCCAGTACTCGGCATGTAGCTTGGATCAGTACAGCTATACTCCCACGGACACATGTCGCAGCACATACAAAAAGTTGTTCGGGATAACCCGTGACGTGAATATGAGGATGCGATCCTCTTTGCGACATCATGCTTTCAAATGTCCGTCTCTTCAGCTTTGGACATGTCAATGTGTTTGAACACATGCTCGACATCATTGGCGTATGATCGAGCTGTGCACGAGATGCAGTGGAAGTGAATTGGTGCTAGCCCGGCCCAGCATGACGCGGGGTCTTGCGTCATGCGCAGCTGAATCGTTGACGCGATTCTCTGATCAAATCATCGTGAGCTTGCAACACGTGATAAAACACAGAAGTATGCCGTAGACAAATTTGATTATCATGGGAATGTTCAAGTGAGCATGCCCGCTCTGTGCCGTGCCAACAAATCCAAACAAGAAAGGACATCAGCTGACTCTTCCGTCAAAGCGCTGTTGCCATATTTGTGAATAAACAAACCTTTTGCAAATACCAGAAAAAATGTTCAGGTGCGCCTTCTGAAAACTAGAAGTGAGCTGGCTTTCCAAACTAAAAATGGCAAGCTAATTGTGCATATGCAGATGCCAGCGCTTGAGGTTGCCCCTTTGTTGGTGGTTTTAAATGGAAGCCAAAGGAATACCACCAGTTTGGGGGGGTCCCTAAACAACGGCATAGCCATATGTCTCAGGTCTCCAGCTGTTCCGGCCTCCACCAGAACAAGTAGAATGCCCCAAAGAGCTGTCCCGACGAAGAGGTGAAAAAAACGCACCACCGCGCCGATTGGTGTAAGCATCAAAATGCACCTCAGAATTAATCGATCTGGGCATGCACAACACGGGCCATGATCCCCTTGGCTACCATGTCCCTAGCCAGAACTCCCGGCTCCGAGTTCGGCTCCCTCTTGAAAAGCAAATCGAAAAGCCAATTTGGATATCGAGCCCCAGCTCCGAGTCCAGCTCCCTACCACCAGCTAGTTGTACCCGACTGCAACTGGACCAACGCAGGAAAGCGAAACGGGTCACATCCGGTCAATTCGGCGTACAAAACAAAACACAATGATTCAACCAGTTGGGGTCAACAACAAAACAATGCCCCTTAAAATCCACTTAACTTGCTGGTGCTCAGTAGGGAATGAGGGAATGAACCTAGGGGTCCCCTAAACCGAAACCACCAGTTGGATGGTTTACAAGGGCCGTTCCCCCATTCCCTGGTGATCACCATCAAGTGAAAGCTTACAAACAAAAAAAACACACACACTCGCTGCAAAATTAAAAAACCTCCGAGCCGCCAGGATCCCGAGCTGCGCCAAAACTTGTCCGCGGGGTGTGTCAGACCCTCTGCGTCCAGCGCCGGACTGAGCCGCAGGCCGTAGATATAAGCCATGGCACAGCCTCACCCAGTGACGCCCCTTAGGACCTGGAAATGAGAGAGTTTATATTACCGTCTGGGACCGAAACACCAAAATGGTGACCAAAATTGGAAAACCAAAAAGTTAGATCCGGTCAGATCAGGTCGGCTTGCAAGTGAGCAGCAGGTGAGGAAGAAAACCGAGGTGTGGAAGCAATGCAGCGCCCAGAAAAGAAAGTCATAGTCCAACAGCAGCTCCCAAAAATCCTTCGAATGCAAGGACCTCAGGACACCAAGCAAACTGGACAAGCAAGGCCATACATCACAAGCCCTCCGCAAGTTGGGTGTGAGCAATGCTGCGGCCAAGGAGTTCACGCCGGCTCATTGTGACACTACTGCCGGCGAAGAGGCATGTCATGCTTGTACTGAAACGCCACCAACCCCAGCAAGCATGGTGCACAGAATGCATACAGCCTCGGAAGTTCTTGGAACGCAATGTGGCTGTGGGTCAAAAAAAAAGGTGCCCAAAATGGAACCCTGGTAAATGGAAATAAGGACTACACCTGCGGTCTTCTAGTGGTTTAATTTGACCCATAGGCACGTCTCGCACTCCTCGCGAACCAGCTTTTTTCAACTCCAGGCAGCAGGAACACAAAGCGGTCCACGTCTGGCGTCAGCGATGGAAGCTTCTGACGCCAGAACGTGGAAGCTTCGCGGAACACAAAGCAAACCTGAGCCCAAATAGGGGTGTGTCTTGTTGGAGGGTACCCTTTTTTGGCCGGTTTTAGGGTCCCCTATTTGGAGACGGACCCATAGGAAGAATCAGTGAAAGAGAGTGGCAAAGCTGGCCGGCGACAATATGCTGCATTGGCGAAAATGCCTGAGGTGAATGCAGCTAGGCAGCACAAACCATGGAGATAGAGAATCCCCACGTATAAACAGCCTCGTAGAAGGGTCCAGAAGCCATTACATCAGACAACATGACCTCGGCTGAGCATGCGCTTGCAAGCCAGCTTCTCATTTGGGCTGTGAGGGTGACAACATGACCTCACGCACCACGCACGTAAGGACGGGAGGCGTTCGGCAGCGCAACATCGCCTCGCCACAGCGCGATAACCTGATCCGAGCTGTGAGATGACACGAAGCTTGGTTCATAAAGCCACGCAGCACATCAAGTCAACATGTAGAGATTGGTTCAAGCGTGACGCAGCCATGAGTCCAGTATGGGGCAAACTTGCCAAGAGTTTGTTCTAATCCGCTTTGATGCTACGCCTTGCCTCGAAATCGATGTGTCATCAGGCACAGCTACCAAGGAAATCATGCAAAAGCAACAAGCCGCGGGCCACTCATGCAAAGGAATGCGAATACTCTTCAACTACAGCAGGAGTGGCATGAGAACTCAACACCATAGGTCAATGCGTGTGTGCGTGCATGTGTGTCTGTTCAGGAATGTCAGCTAGTCAGCAACATCGCACATCGAGAGAGCCTGGTGAGCTGAGCGTCTCTGGTCGTGCGTCGACCACCTTTTAATTGCTTGGTGGTTGACAAACCTACGCTTGGGTCGCAGGGGTAAGACTCTAACGAGCACAGGTTTGCTGCAGCAACAAGGCTCAAGGAGCTCGCCATGCGGCAGCGACAGCGCGGCAACAAAGCGGCGACGAGCGCAATGTTTCGGCGACCATGGCCACCATGCGGCGACAAGTGAACCGAATACAGCGACAACGAGAGGACAATTGACATCAATTGACATTGCTCTTGTAATGCGACACCACATTGCCCTTCTGCCAATACAGCGACAAAGCTATAACAAAGCGGCAAAGAAGCGGTGATGTGGCGACCATGCGTCACCAATGAGATGACAAATACGGCGAAGATGCAAGGCCAATGCAGCGACGCTGTGCTATGAAAGCTATGTGTTACAATATGTGGCCATGGTTCAAAATCCCGTGCCCCAGTCAACATCCCAATCCCCGCTAAAATAGACTAAAATGGGTGGTGCATCTGCCCCAAAATGGTACCATTTGTTTTGACCCACATCCATGTTACAAAGTGGTGACAATTTGTCAGGACAATGCGCGATGCATGCGGCCAAGCTGCTGGGAGAACGATATTCAGGAGGGTCGCTGGGATCCACCCCACAGCGGCCACGCAAGCCCGGAAGCCAACAGTGCCTGCCACCTCAGCCATCTGTGCTTGTGCCGTTCTCTTGATCCTCTATTTACAGCAACCGAGAAGGGCAGAATTCCACCTTGACTTTTCCGGAAGTCCGAGCAACCGTAGTGTCTCCTCTTCTTGCAAAACATCCCCATTGTTAGAATAAACTAAGCATAGATTCAAGGAGGTGTGCCTGCAATGCAGCTCTGAGAGGGCCACAGAGGGCACAGGGCCTGATGGGCAAGCTTCACCCATGGCCTGCAGCACCTCAGCTCTCAGGCGGCACTCCACCAGGCAAGCGGCTTGCCTGGCCGCCAGACTCGCGCCTCAAAGCTGCAAAGGCCAGATTGCGCCAAACCGACTTGAGCCAAATCCGTCAGAAACATCCGTGTCAGACTCATGGCAAGTCCACAGGATCCATGCGCCCGGTCCGATTCGAATCAGCGCCTATCAAACGAAACCCGCACCCTTGCCTGACCAAAAGGCACACAGGCTTCGATCCAGTCGCCCAGCAGTCCGGCGGGCTTCCCATCTTCGAATCCTCATGTGTAGAATAGGTGTGTGTGTGTGCGAGTTCAAAATAGCCCCTATGGAAACTCCATTAAACAAACCCAACAAAAGTCCCTTTTTAATGGCACCCACGAAAACCCCCAAAACAAAAACGACCCATCGTCGTGCTTCGCTGGCCTTTCTCACGACGATCAGCCAAAGCAACGGCACACGTCAGGAACCTCGGTGCGGTTTCTGTCACGGAGTCGACGTGAAAAGATTGGCTCCCTTGCATGCAGGAATTGTTGTGCTTCTCGCTGTACTGGCCTCGACTGCCGATTCCTTCTCTCTTCTCTCCCAATTGCGCGCGCACTTCTTACAAAATGTGGAGAAAGAGGGAGGGAGAGAGAGCAAGGAAAGATGTCAAATATCATGTTGCACTACTTGTCACTTGTGCATGCATGATGTACACTACCCGACTGCAGGCCTTGAGTCTACTAGGAAAAGACTGCATGCTGGCTGACTACATTTGTGTTTGTGATAACTGAACAACACTTGCACTAGAAGTAAAGTATCAACGTATTTTAACGTGGTAGCGGAGCTGAGATCCTAAACATAGGGGAGCTCCAGTAACAGCAGTAAGTACTACAACTGCACAGGCAACCAACATGCCCAACTACTACGACATGTCAGGAGAACCAGCAGCAGCATCAGCACAACCAACTACAGGAGCAGACAACGGGCCCACAGCAGAAGAGACAATAGGAGCCACAACTACGGGAACAACACAGGAGCAGGAAGACGTCCAAAGGCTACACAAATACAAACTGCCACCACCGTTCTTCACTGGTGACTACTCACAGTATGAAGAGTGGCTGTTCAAACTACAAGCATATCTCGGACTTATCGACCGAGACTTCGACATGGTGCTACAACTAGCACAAGCAGCTACAAGACAAATTGAAGATGCAGACATCAGAGCCCACATACGCGACCCTACACAGGCAGCAAAAGCAGTAGACCTCTCACGAGATCTACACTACATCCTCATCAACATCTGCCAAGGAGCAGCAGCTACAGTGGTTAGACAAAACCGCTACAATGCCAATGGATGTGAAACACTACGGCTTTTGCACAACAGGTTCAGCCTACCAGTAGGAACACGCAGTGTTGGCTACCTCACCAAACTACTGGAACCTACATTCAATGAAGCACAATTTGAAGAACAATTCCTACAGTGGGAATACGACATCAACCGCTACGAGAAAGACAACGGCACAGCACTACCAGATGGAGTAAAGATTGCAATACTACTCAACAAGACCAAAGGAGCACTCCAACAGCATCTCCAACTACGTGCTGGACAGATCACGAACTACAACGAGATCAGAGTTGTCATCCTGGACTACTACAAAACCATCTCTGCATTCTCAAGAGCGAGCTCAGCAGTTGGCACAAACTACAATGGTGGGACAGCACCGATGGACGTGGACAACATTTGGAGAAAAGGAAGAAACTACAAAGGCAAAGGCAAATATGGAGGCAAAGGACACTACAAAGGAAACAAAAAGGTAAGTACAGAAGCAAAGGCCACTACAAAGGATTCGACAAAGGCAGCAAAGGAAACTACAACAAAGGAGGATACAACAAGAACAAAGGAAAAGGCTACTCAGGATCCAAAGGACATGGATCAAGCAAAGGCTACAAAGGCCAAGGAAACTACAGCAAATCAAAAGGAAAAGGAAACAACAATTACACAACATGCCATCGATGTGGCAAACCAGGCCACTGGGCACAAGACTGCAGAGTGCCAGTATGGCACATAGGAGAAGGAGAAGAACTACATCCACTAGAACAAGAACAAGCAGATCACGACAACAATGAAGAACTACCTCAGGATGTGAACGACACTTGGGACTGGTACTACGAAGGAGAAGAAGGACAACACGAGGTGAACTACATGGAGGAGAACTGGAACGACTACGACTATGACAACAGCTGGGATTGGAATGACAACAGCTATGAGGACACTGCAAACTACATTGGAGGCATCAACGAGTCACACCTCACAATTGGACACATCAGACAAGCAAACTCACGACTACACAAGCACAAATCCAAATCACTACTTGGCAAGAGAACAACACACACAACATCATGGAACGACCACAGCAAGAGCTTTCAACAATTCCTACAAGAAGACAACACACAGCCACACTTTGATATAGCAGCAGCCAGACAACAACAAAGGAACAAGAAGATTGAGAACACTATCACACACTACATCATGTACTCCAACTTCAAGTCATACCACCACCTGCTGATCGACTCAGGAGCGTCTACACACGTTTGCCCGAAGGACTACGCACCAGACCTACCGCTACGACCTTGTGGAGAATCGGTTCCACAACTCTACACGGTTACCAACAAGAAGATTCCTGTCTACGGCATCAAGTACGTTCCCTACAAGCAGGACAACTTCAGGATCATGATACCCTACTACGTTTGTGATGTGAAGTACCCAATCCTCAGTGCATCAAGACTACTTGATAGAGAATATGGACTTGACTTCACTCCACGACACTGCACCATCACACATGGACAACAACAAGCACACCTCATCAGACACTCAGGACTTTTCTACCTACGAGCAGAGAAGGATCGACATCCCTACAGGATTCGACATCTATCCAATGACTACAGACAGTGGAAAATCCATTGCTGTGATTCAATCTACAGAGAGAGCAGCACAACAACAAGAACAAATCGCACCACTCACACACACAGACCAAGGACTACGACAGATCCTTGGTGGAAACACTGACTACTGGAAACTTGATGGTGACTACGCCATCAGAGTACACAAACGACCACGCAAAGCACTATTCACACCACACAACAGCGGCTGCCCAACACCTGAAGAAGAACTAGATGATTGGCGACTAACCATCATCAACAGACAAGGGCAAGAGCAAGAACAACTACAAGAGAACCCAACACAACTTTCCAAGCAAGAACTACAACGAAGACTAGAAGGTGACAACTGGACTGGAGAAACCAGATTCAGAAGAAAGATAACACCTACACGCAGAGCAACATCAAAGACAACACCAACAAGGCAGAGCTCACAACCACAACGGCTAATGGACACACCACCAACCAGATCAAAGATCCAACTACGAGCACCACAAAAGATATGGAGACCTAAAGCAGCACCTTCTACAAATCTTGACACCACACAACCAAAGGAGACAATCCACAGACCACTCACAGCACAGGAGGACAACCAAGACTACTGGGAAAGACAAGGTGAACACTGGATAAGACACCACACATCACTTAGAACAACTCTATTCACTCCAACAGATGGACCAGGACATCCACCAATCAGCACACTCGAACCTCACAGAACTACAATCACTCACAACAACTTTGGAGAAGTTTCCCAACGCAAAGATGACTGGACAGTCATGGGCAACGCAGCACTACCATTTCAATGGAAAGGAACAACAAGGTTCACCGTGAAGAAAGACTACGAGTACATCCAGGAGAACCACGATGAGGAGCAACAACAAGAGCATCATGAAGCACACAGAGCAATAGGACTACGACAACCTCAGCAGCCCACTCCACAACAAATAGCAGAACACAACTTGACACACCTACCATACAGAAATTGGTGTCCAATTTGCGTTCAAGGCAAAGGACGCCAGGACAACTACAAGAAACAACAATCACGACAACCCATCATCCAAGTGGATTTTGCCTACATCAAATCACAACAAGATCCGAAGACCATACCAGTCTTAACGGCAGTTGATGTTACTACACAACTGTGCATGGCGGTATTGGTTCCGGACAAACCATCAATGATGGACTACATGATCAACAACCTACAAGCATTCATCTTTGAATGCGGAAGAACACACGGCATACTACAAAGCGACAACGAAGACACACTCAATGCACTACTACAAGCAACAGCATCTAAAGTCGGCTCAATGACTGTACGACATTCACCATCCTACAGCAGCAACAGTCAAGGAAGCGTTGAGCGACTACATAGAACACTTCTCGGACAAATCCGCGTCGTCAAAGCTCAGGTTGAAAGCAACTACAGCATGACGATGTCCACAAAGCACTGTCTACTACCCTGGATAGTACGACACGCAGCATGGACGGTAAATCGCTACGTCATTCACTCAGACGGCTACACAAGCTTCGAACGCCGCTGGGGAAGAAACTACGAGCGAGCAATCTGCGAATTTGGCGAGACACTACTCTACCTTCCACCACAACACAAGAAACTCCCAAAAGCAGACCTACGGATGCAGAAATGCATCTGGCTCGGAAAAGTTTCCGAAACCGGAGAAAACTACGTCGCAACGGAATCAGGCGTACAAAAGGTACGAACAGTACGGAGACTACAACCGGACTTCAAATACGACCTCGCACTGTTGAACAAAGTTTCCGGCACACCATGGGCGCCACGACGGAACACCTACAACCCATCGTTCGCAACACTGTTGGATGCGCAACTACCACCGTCAGAGAAAAGAAGGTCCACGCAAGATTTCGGACAACAAACGAACGCTACGGACGACATCGTTGCGGAACCCGCAACAAAACAACAACGCACCACACCACCTCCACGACTTCCGTCAACATCGACGTCAAGTTCACGACCACTACCGGATAGTCCGATGGCTACTTCACCAACCGGACGACAACATCCACCACTACCAGCACCACCTCGACAAACACTACGACGTTTAACTCCGGAAGAAGTAATGCAACCCACTAAAGCACAGAAGACCTCAAAGGACACTACAATCAGATCAACGGAGCAAGCAACCAAAGAACCACCACCACTACGACAG